CCGGCGGCGGCCGATGTCACGACCGCGCCGAGCACACCCGAGCAGCGAGTCAGGCGATTGCTAGGCTTTTTACATGTAATTTTTATTAGCGCGCTAACCAGTAATAACCGCCGGCGTCGTTTAGTGACCCGGACATAGATGAAAGCCAACCGGAAATAGAATGTTGGCACCCAATCAGGCTTTCGATGGTGAGTGGTCTCCCCACAGCGCATGCGCCACATCGTCCTCATTCCGCCTCCACGCGTCTGGGTTGCGTTTTGTATGCGTCCCTGCTGCTAGCGAGAATGCGCGCGCACAATCGAGCGCCGGGCAGGGGGCTGGGGTGACCGCTGTGCGCTCCCTGCCCGAACTTGCTTTCTGGGCGGCACTTTGTGCCACGGCTCAACGTGAAATCCGGTGTCCCGAGCCCTGCCCGCTCCTCTCTGCTTCTGCTGGCATCTCGGGCCCCTGCCGCCCTGCAGTTGCGGCCACGTGCAAAAGGCCAATGAAGGCAAAAAACAAGCCCGATTTGAGAGTTATTGGCGCGACTTTGGCACTGCCTTTCCTCACCCACCACCCTCCCCTGGCTCCTCCCCTTTACCTCTTTCCACCAGGGCCCTGCCCCTGCCCCTCCACCTCTTCCCCTGGCTTTTCGAATGGCACCCATACAAGCGTGCCGAAGTGCAGACTGTCATCTGGATGGGTGGCAGTCTTAAGCCTCATTAGGCAGGAGGGTCCACCCATGTACATCCAATAGCATAATTTCATCTTAAAACTGTACGAAGTTAGGGGGTGGAAAATAAAAAGGATCATACCCACAATAGAATGAAAACATTGCAGTGTTCAGCTTTGCAATAACCAATGTGGAGGACCTTACCAAATGACCAAATTCACAGCCATGCAAAATACAACATGGACCATGTAATCTAGTGTGCTCCCATGAAAACTGGCCTTTTGTGTATTTATAGGCTATTTCCACACACTGCCCATTTTGTGCAAGAAATATGCAAATGAGGCAAAGTGTGGCATATCACCTAGCCTCACCTGCAAAATTAATGAGGCTCTGTTTTTTTGCGCAAGAGGCTTTTGCGCAAGAGCCATTCTTCCGCATTTTTTTTCAGGAAGTACAGCTCTTGCGTGACGGGGGTTTTGTGCAAAAACAGAGCCTAATTAATTATGCAAATGAGGCTCTGCAATATTCCACGCTTCACCTCATTTGCATATTTCTTGCGCAAAACGGGCACAGTGTAGGCACAGCCATAGTGTGTAGGTATCATGGGGAAGACAAGCATTTATCAAATTAGGGGGTCCTGACGCAGTGGGAGCACAAAGTTATTTTAAGAGAGTCATGATATTGCCACCCTTCTGTTCTGCCTTCAGAATTGGAAACTGGAGAGCAGTGAATGTAATGTTGGCTAGGAGCCCAGCTCTGAAGGCAGCATCCAGACAGCAGCAGTGCAGAAGTACTGTTCCTTTTAGCATGGCACCTACAGCATGGCATCTGTTGACTACGGTCGCAGCTCTGCAGGCATCAAAGCAGAAATATGGGTGACAATATCCTACCTTGCCATTCTTCTCTGCTGCTGCTGGTGGCAGCTCTGCCTTCAGCTGCCCAGCATCAAACAGCAGCACAAAGGTAAGGGTACTAGAGCCATACACACCCTTACAATAACATTTGCACAACTCCTTTTTGGGTCAGGATCCCTACAGTTACAACTCTGTGAAATTTCACAATTAAATAGCTGAAAAAACGCAATTTACCATTTTAAAAACCCTATATCTTTGAAATTAATCAAAATGAACCATGAATTCGGTAGGGTGTCAGCCGACGGTCAGGGCAGTGTGTGCGTGTGTGTTACACCCAAGTCTTCAACTGCTGAGACACAAAGTCTCGTTGCAGTGGGCAGCCTAGGAGGCTAGAGGGCGCCCCGAAAAATAGTTTAACGTCTGTGACTTTAGTGCTAGGACCGGGGTCCCGTCGCAGAGGGCAGCCAACAGGCTCTCAAACGCCCCGAGTTTATAGGAAGAGCTTATTACACCTCAGATTTCAGCTGCTAGAATTCGTAATTCCTTCGCAGCGGGCAGCCTTGGGAAAGACTGAAAGGTGCCCCAGTGGATTTTGCCACCTGGGTGTGACACAAATCCAAACGCCCAAGCTCTCCCTATATCTGTCCCTAATGACCGGCTGAAGTTCTTTTAAATTGTGCTTGGTTCTGAAGGAGTCAGGTTAAAGCTTAAACAGTTACTATTTTATTGTTACAGGGTAAACTTAGTTGTTAAATGCTACTGCTGTGTTACAGATAAGACAGACACTACAAAGGACAGGACAGAAATTACACTAATAAGTCACTTACAGGTACCATGAAACCCTTTTGGTTCTCTGAGCTCTTATTAAATGCATGCAAAATAGACACATAGCAGGTATAATTCTCACCCCTCCGTTCCAGACTTGGCGTTGCCAGTGTCTTTCTCTCAATCCCTCGGGAAGAAGTAGGGCGAGGTTGGGCGTCCCACAGACCTCGGGAGACAATCAATACCTGCCAGCAGGTATAGATGATTGGAGCTCAAATGGGGTGGGCTACTGAACCTCTTTTTATACACTGTGGCCAATTAGGAAAAATGGCTTTGAATGCCAAGTTTCCCACGAAGGGTGCAAAGCATAATTTACACCTGGGAAAATGCAGACAATGGGCACCTCTGGTATGTGATGGGCGAAGATTCCTCTCCTGGGACAGTGCAGGCGTGTCAATTACTGGTACTAGCCATCAGGGTGACAGGAGGCCCTGGGTTGTCAGCTAGCCCATTTACTGTCTGGTTTCTGTTTATGCTAGAGTCAGGGACAGGCAGCAAACCTGCGTTCCCAGGGCATCAAAGGCTGACTGCCTTTCTCTTGCTCTCTGGGGGGGGGAGGGGGGAAACAAGATGGGGTTCGTGGAAAAACAAGATGGGGTTTGTGTCTGGCTACATAGGGCCCCACTAATGTGTAGGTGTCCTGTTGCCCAGAGGAATGCTCAGACCCACATTTGGTGTTCAGGCTCCCTATCCAATCCACAGCAAGAATTAGTTACCTACAAATGGGATCATTAGAAAGCCAGCAAACTGAGGGAAACCGTTTCAAAAGGAGAGAATGAAAGGTTTTAGTCCAGAAAATACTATAGTTTGGGGTTTGGGCAGTTACCTGGAATATGGAAGATGCTGCTGTGATGATGTGTCGGAGTTCCCCCAACACTGCACCCCCATAGCAGCAAGAACAGACTGCGCCAGCCGGTAGAATACAGGGGGTTTATTGCTTCTCCAGGATACAGCACAGCATAGCCATGATGTGTCTACAGAAGTCTGGACCAGGATGCCTCAGACCCCTTGAGATGGGGTCCCTGGGCCCCTAGAGTCCAGCCCCCTCCTTAGACTGGTTCCTTCATGATTCCAGCCCAAGACTGACCCTTCCCCTGAACACTCACTTCCCTAGTTCCCTTGCTGCCCCAACTTTGTCTTTGTCTACATGACTTAGGCAGCCCACCTGCTGGGCAGTGCTCACAGGCAGAGGCCGGTAGGGGTCATTCACAGCCCACAACCCAAGCACAGGAACCAGCAAGGTACTGACACTACATCACAGCATGTGGGTGAATCAGTGGGAATCACACAGCACAGCACAGGGGGATCCTGGGATACAGAGCAGACAGCACCCCCACTACCCCACACCTGCTATACATCAAAGAGAGTGGAAATTTGAAATCAGGTCTCCTACATTCCAAGTGAATAGCGTGACTCCTAGCTATTGGTATTCATGCATGCCCATGTATTCACCCCAAAATTCCTGATCTGGTCACCCCCATAAATCTGGTGGGAATTGGTGTGCTCTGAAAATACCCTACTGGATTGGGTTATATAGTCAAGACAAGCAGGGAAATAGCTAATTTGAGCATCATGTTGGGTCTTAGGCAGGAGATAAGGGCATCAAGCAGTATGGTATCAGTTGTGGGTAGTGTTGTGCAAGCTTGCAGAAATTTCGTCACTCAGGGAACTAAGAGTTGGGCAGCAGCTGAGTGGGGGTTTCAAAGATCTCAGTGGTGCCTAAATATTGGATGTAGGCCCTGAAAGTGGCAGCTAAGTATCTAGAGCCTTTGTGGGTCTAGCCCAAAGTTCTTTTAGCAACATTGATTTATTAACTTTACAGCCCTGATGCATGGTTTGGGTTTGAAATAGGTGTTTCCTAGAAAATTGTGAGCTTATAAAACAAGGTTATAAGAAAAAAATCATGTATAGCCTTCACTAAAACTTTCATTGCAATAGACAGAATACATATAACATCATTTATCTTAGACTTTCAAAGCCCAAATATAATTTATCACCGAGAAAGCTTCTAATTTTTCTTAGTGTTATTTCCATTTTACAGTTGGGAAGGTGGAGGCATGAAGACATTGATGTATCAATTTTCAGAAGCTGCTGTAATCAATGTTAGCTGCAGATACTCAGTAGCTTTGACAATCTGACCATAAATGATTTCTGAAAGTGATATTCCTGAAACCAGTCAGACACGACCTCTCCCGCTCCCCCGCCTTCACTGGTGTCTAGCTGACCAGACATACTCCTCTGCTTTTCCCTTCTTCCCTGACCTTCGCTTTCTTAGTTACAATTTGTGAAGCTTTTTATCATGCCTTTGGTATGTTATCTTTGGTACAATGCAATTTCTTGTACTCAGGGCCATGAGGCCCCACTTTGCTTAGAAACCACATTGCTTCTGAATATGAATGTAACCTCTGGAATGTGTGTGAGGTGTGAATGAAAAATACCCAACCAAGAAGGCAGTTTAGGATCTGTGACCTTCTGTGGCAGACAAAGACCCTGCAAGCAGATAAATTAACTGAGATGTGTCTAGAAAATCTCTCTCTCTCTCTTGGACAAGATGTAACATCACAGCAGAAACCCAAGACCAGCTCAGAGAAAGTAAAGCTTCCAGCAGATCTGAAGGGATGTCCCAAGGAACATCATGGTAGAGACTCCAGGAAGCTGACACCTGGCCAGTACTCCAGCCACCAGCGAAATCGAAAGTAATCTACATCACACTTGCAGCCTGCCTCCAAACTGCCAGCATGAATGTGATGTATGTGTGTGAGTATCACTTTACTCTTAAGAATCTGTGCCAATAAACATCCCCAAAAGAATACTGCTCCAGCTTAACCTCTGTCTGGGTTTGTTCCTGAACAGGTCTGAGGAAGTGCAACAATTCTAAGTATGGAGCAGAACAAAAAAAAGAAATGCAGATATTATTTTTTTAGGATATGTTTATATTAGAGTTGTTTTTTAAAAACTTTAGTTAACTAATTTCCAAGTTAACTAATTTCCAACTCTACACACCTAGGACTTGATTTTCATCAGTATTCACCACCTGCAGTTCCTCTTAATTTCCACTGGAATTGAGAGTATTGAGCACCTCTGAGAATCATACCTTAGGTTACATCTACATTGTGGAGCTATTTTGGGCAACCTACGGTATCCTGAAATAGTTATTCCATGTCTTAAGAGCAAGCCTGTTATATCGAAATATAATGGGCTCACTATTCTGACATCTCTGTAAACCTCATTGCACAAAGATTAAGGGACATTTTTGAATGGTGCTTTATTTTGAAATTACCTCAAAATAAGCTATGCAATTTGCTTATTTCGAGGTAAGAGTGCTGTGTAGATGCACCCTTAGTGGTCTCGAGTTGGAGACAATTATGTTTAACTCCTCAAGAGATCCCATAGGAGATAGGTGCCTAAATACTAAGGGTGTTAAATATCGACTAATTAACTAATTGAATAGTCAATGTATTTTGGATTTACTATTCAATTAGTCGATAGGGCACCTCTGCCTTTGAAGTGTAGCAACAATCTAGGGGGAGCCTGACGCTGCGCTCCCCACAGCATTGCAAAGTGACAGCGCCGCATGGAGCCCGGGGTCAGCAGATGAGTCCCCAGCTGATCCTGGGCTCCACGCAGCATTGCCTCTTTGAAATGCCACGTGCAGCCTGGGGACACCCCAGCTGGTCTCAGGCTGCATGTGGGTTTCAAAGCGGTAGTGCCACTTGGAGCCCGGGATCTGGCCTTTGGCTCCAAGTGACACTGCCGGTTTGATGTACCCCTTTCTTCCCACCCCCACTTGCTGCCTCTTTCTCATAAAGGCAGCAAAGGGGAGGAGAAAGCGACTAGTCGACTATCCTGTCAACTATCTAATGAGCAAATGCTTATTAGATAGTCAACAAGTCAACTCGTCCTTAACATCCCTACTAAATACCTTAGAGGATCTGGGCCTTCATGCCCTTAACTTCCTCTGACTGTAATGGGAGTTTCAGGCACTCAGCAGCTTGCAGTATCACTCCATCAACAAAAGACAAAAATAAAACCAAGCAATTGATATGTCACAAGTACTTGAGTTACAGAACATACTGTAGCTAAAAATATGCATACAGTACCTTATTTCAACATTTGCCAGTGCTAGTTGTCAGAGTCCCCTGCTGACATCAACAGTCACTGGGCACAGCAGAGAAGAATGTTCTTTTCTCAGTGGTAGTGTAATGATGGGTTATAAGGTTCTACTTATGATTTTGCTTTTTTATTTCTTTGCTTGCTGATTTCTTTGACAGAGCATGTGAATGGTAAGAAGCTGTTTTCCGGAAGTGGAATATTTAATAAAAAGCTAAGGGGAAGCCCTGGAGAAGTGAAGTGCATATAGGTAATTGGAGGTGGAAAGGTGAAGGTCATTGAAATGTTTCCAGTAAGTACCCCCAATCAGGGGAAATCATCAAGGAGAACTCTAGGTAGCATTCACAGAATAAAGCCTCTAATATCAATAACAAATCAGTTGATCCCACTAATTTGTTCAAGTCCCTGTATAAAGAGTAAGGTGACCAAGATGGACCCCGATCCTGCTGTGATTGAAGTCAATGGGATTTGTCCTGGCTCAAACCCATGCACTTCATATTATAAACCAGATTTTAACCATCAGTTATGTAAAAGGCCATGGAATTAGCAGAGCTGTTTACAGCCAGTGATGGAAATAGCAGATTTAGAGGAAAATTTAAATGCATACTAACATAAACTTTTTAATGTTCATATTCAATTGTAAAGACTAAATAATTAAAATGTTTTAAATACAAAAAGTTTAATTAAAAGTCAAATAGTAAACCAATGCATTGACAGCTTCACAAGGTAGATTAAGGCCAAGGAAATTAATATCCTTCTGATTTAATAATTGACAAAACAACTTCTTAATTAATTGAAAGTATTTCAATATGTTAGGCTACTTTTCCCCCTATTTAGTCTAATTACACATAGCTTTATCTAGATTAGAATGTAAAATAGCCTAGACCTCATCCTCTCTTTCTAATTAAACCTTCTACAGTTCAAGTCAAGACACAGTAATTTCATATTAGCATGTAAACTAATTGAGGTAGAGTCTAGGGCTTCTCCCATCGGTTTTGTCTACACTAGGAACACAGGTGAGCTTTTACATATCTATGAATGTAAAATCCCAGTATAGACAGGGCAAGTTGTACATTTACGTCAGTTTCTCTGTGTGGGGTGGACCCTTGCATTGAAACCTGTCTCATGCTATCTACACTAGGATTTTATATAACATAATACATCTTTTTCCTAGAACAAGCATTCATTGAAAAGGTGTTTGTTAGCTCAAGCTAAGTCATTCAGTCTAAGATTACACCTTTCAATCTTATTTGAAATAAGGACTTTGTGGATTAGAAACCTCACAAATTTTGATTTACTGAGTTTTTGCCTTAAGTTTGTGGATCCCTTGACATTTGCTTGGATTTTGGGCATCTGTCAGAAGTTAGGACAGTTTATGTGGAAGCTTTCAAAAATCATGAGTCATTCCCTCAAAAACCATGACATTGGCTTGAGATTTTTTAAAATATAAAAAGAGTCCAACACTTATTTGTATTCTGGTTTCAAAGTATTTAGGTTACACTCAAGTTATAGATTTCTCAAAAACTGAGAAGGCTAGATTTTTTTTTAAATCGAAAGCTGACATTTTATGTACTTGTATTCATTCTAGGAGCAGAAATTTTAAGGAAAATACCAAATAGTGTGACAAAATCACAAAAGCTTACAGCTGTGTCCAAAGATCTGCAATGCCTTCACTCAGTCCTCTGGAGACCAAGCAAAATTCAAGACTATTTAGCACTTTAAAGACTAACAAGATGGTTTATTAGATGATGAGCTTTCATGGGCCAGACCCACTTCCTCAGATCAAATAGTGAAAGAAAATAGTCTTGTTAGTCTTTAAAGTGCTACATAGTCCTGTATTTTGCTTCAGCTACACCAGACTAACACGGCTACATTTCTGTTACTGCTCTGGAGATCAGGCATTGTGCTGTTATGACTTCCCCCAATGGCTGCAGGCACCCACTTTGCCATAAGGATTTCATCAATCTGTGGTGGGGGAGTCGATGCAAATGGATGCTGATGGGATCTGCATTAATTTATGTTCAGAGAAGTTTAGTGGGGTTTCTGAGGGAGACTGTGTTGTAAAGAAAGGTAACTCTCTGGAGGCTAGCCCACAGCCCCAACCCCTCTTCCCGAGGTCCCATCCTTCCCCTTCCACTCCACCCTCCCCCTGCAGCGCCCAGAGCACTCTCCCCACAGCTGCTATGCTAACTAATGTGCACCTCAGACCATTGTTTTAATCACACAATTAATATATATTTCCAATACTAAGTGTGCTTTTTTCTCACCACACAAATGTATGGTGTATGCTGGTGCCATCACCTAGCAGTTTGGCCACTGGACCACCTCCACGCCTCGTGTTGTCTTTCTTCTCTTGGGACAGGGTAACTTGACCCTCCATCAGGTTATCACTAGTCCTCTCTCCCTGGTGTGACAGCTTTCCTAATCTTTGGTTGTGAGTGCCTTGTGTCTGACTATCCTTCTTAAGTGTTTGGAAAGCACCGAGCCCATAGTGGGCACTACCATACATAATAATAAAGCCTTACTAACAATTGAAATTAGACTTTACTCAGGTAAATTGTGGTCCTGAAATTCAACCTGGAAAACTCAGCACCTTTTAACCTCTCTCATCTTTTTTATTCTGGGGAGGGAGAGGTTATTTTGGTATAAGTGACCTTAAAAATGTAGAATTTTGGAACTTTGGTGAATCTGTTTTCAAGATATTGTAATTTAGGAACATTTAGTCTAACTCACTTCAAATTGGAAGAAAAATTTCTCTCAACCTCAGGGCTAATTTATCGATTTTTGAGGTTGGAATTATATGATCTCCATGGCCAGCAGGAACACCACTGGTTTCAGGGCAGTTGCAGAGGTCTGCCTGCAATCGCAGGATCAGGGCCAGGAGTACAATCTAGCTATGGAACAGTATCTGCCATACTATCATACTGTACTGTTATCCAGTGAAGAGATTCCATTGAAAGGGTTAGCATGGCATGTTGTAGTCTATAAATTCGAGAGGTTATAAGCAAGTTCATTCTTTTGCTCCTCTTTTTATGAGTGCTGATGACATTTTCCTTCTACAGATGTCTCATGAGCTCAGTGAATGGCATATTTACTATTTACATTGTGGTTCTATATTTATAGACATTCACTTTATTACAATTTAAGAATTATCTCAAGAATGAAAATATAATCACACTGACCTTAAAATGAATGTGTTGCTTGGAATTACTATTGGTAGGTTTTAAATATATTAGACCAGGCACGGAACCTGAGGGCCAGTGACATGGGCCAAGGGCTGCTGTCAGTGTCCCCACATCATGAGAAGATGGAGTGTCCATGTAGTTTCCACAACTGCCTGAGTTCTTCAGTCAGGTTTCATGCAAGTCTGGTCAGGTGGTGAGGCCTGGGGGAGGAGGAGAAGGAGTGGGGGAAGGGTCAACCCCAGGGAAAAGCAGACAGTATAGTCTGTCCACTTTCAAAAAGTGGGATGGCCATGGCCACTGCTCCCCCACTCCCACCCCAGCACCATTGGAGTAAGCCAGTTTTCTCCATCACACTGAGGTATGCTAAGTAGAGCCGCCCCTCCAGGCTCCAGAAGCAATAGCTGCTCTTTCAACCCTTTTCCCCTAGTGGGGGGCGCTGTCAGTTTTCCTTTCTGACTGGAT